ATCTCTGTGAGTTCAAGGCCAGCCTGGGCTACCAAGTGAGCTCCAGGAAAGGCGCAAAGCTACGCAGAGAAACCCTGTCTCGAAAAAACAAAAAACAAAACAAAACAAAAAAAAAAAAAAAAACAAATACCTTATTCAGTTACCTAAGGTTCATTTTCAGGCAGAAAATCTACTTCAGGAGCTTGAAGACCACTTCCGAGCCCTGACTACGACGTTAAACCTCAGAAATATCCTTTCCTGGTCTTACTAAACACGATGAAGCCTTTGGGTGGTCTCATTGCAGCGTCTTGTTCTCTGATAATGGTGTCTGATTGTTTACACACGGCTTCCCAGAGTTTACATTTGTGCTTCTGTGTGGCATCGGGGTGCATTAAATATTATTCGCTTGGTCGCAGGCTCTGCTTCCTGACTGGCTGGCGACGCAGGGCATTTGAATGAATAGCCAGTAGAGAGCTCAGGGAGCAGAGGCCCGGCTCTGGCTGAGGGGCTGCTTGGCAAACCTAACTGAGCCAGCCTGGTCAGTAGCGCAGACTCCGCAGCAATGGGGAACCCGCGAGAGCGGTGTGGATGGTCTCTGGCAAGGAGACATTCCTAGGACATGCCTTCCATTTGATTGGAACAAGCCAGTCAGTGTTTTGTCTCAGAAGAATGAAATCGGTTAGAAATGAATGTTCAGTCCCAACTCCACATGTCAGTAAACCTCTGTATATTTAGAATGGCCAGTTGGGACTTGGCAAGTGTCTGAGTGACTTGCTTAAACTGGTTCTGTGATGGTTCTACTTGTGAGTTTATTGGAAGATAGTTGTTTTATAAAATTTAAAAATTAAATAAAAATGTTTACAGTTTGTGTAAGTCTAGGTTAACATCTGCCCTAAGACTTGCCCAATCTAAGGCTTTTTTTTTTACATGATTAAATTCACTTTAAAAAATATTAAGGAGATAAAGAGACGTTCATCCATTAAGAGCATGTGCTGCTCTTGCAGAGGGCCCAGGTTCGGTCCCAGCACCCACACAGTGGCACTCAGCCATCTGTAACTCCAGTTTCAGGGGGTCCTACACTTCTTTCTGGTCTCCTCAGGCACCAGGCATGTCTGTGGTAAACATACATATATTTAGGCAAAACACTAATACATAAATACAAAACACTTATAAATAAATAAATCTTAAATAATAAATCAAGTGAAGTGGGCCATTGAAATGACTCGGCCTGGAAGAGCGCTTGCTGCCAAGCCTTAGTGCCATCCATGGGATCCATCCTGAAAAGACAGAACTACCTCCAGAAAGTTGTCCCCTGACCTTCAAACCCGTGTCATTTACACACACACACACACACACACACACACACACACACAAAGTACTTTTTAAAAAATAAACCACGAAGACGTTGGTTTTAAAAAGAACTAATTCCCATCACAGTTACACTCAGAGTTTGGCTAAAGCTTACCAAGCTCAAGTCCTCAAGCCTATGAACAAGCCGGGGACGGGGACGGGGATGGGGGGGGAGGGGGCTGTTTTCAAACGTAGTCCACAGCTGGAGGTAAAATACCATGTGCTGAGAAAAGCTGAGGGAAGCGTAATGACGCTGACTGTGGACAGCCTGACTTCCTCACCAAAGGCTGCTCTGCCACACGTGCCCAGGGACCTGTGCAGAGCAAGAGCAGGTTAAAGCAGGAACCTTCCATGAGTCGGGCTAACCAGACCACATGTGCCATTCTCCTTGACATTGTACTGGAAGAAATGGGAAGTCGCATTGAGGACTTACAGAAAAATGTTGATGACCTAATGGTTCAAGCTGGAATCGAGAATTCTATCAAAGAACAAACGGTAAGGCCTGGGTTAAGACATGGCCTTGGTGTATCTTTTTTTTTTTTTTTTTTTTTTTTTTTTTTTTTT